TAGCATAATGTCAGTGTATAGCACAGTGATTTAAATCAACAGGGAGGCCATTAACTTTTACGCATACCAGATATGTTTGCATTTACAAACAAGTTTACCATGAAAGGTAAAAAAGCAGATATTTCATATATTGCACCTGGACAGGGGCTAGCTAGAGGTAACAGGAACTCTGAGTTACTGTGGGAGTACCAAAGTCTTCTTCAGCTTTAAATATACTGTACTATTACTATGCAGTTTCAAATGTCTGGTTTATATAATTTTATATTAAGTCAAGCACTAAAAATGACAAAAAAAAAAAAAAAAAAGAGTTTGTGCAGGTTGAAATATCCTTAGCATCTGGCATATCCAAGGTATGTTCTTAACTCAGTTCAAACTGGTTTAGATTGGAGGCAAGAGTAGCCTGCCCATCATATCTTTGTATAGAACAGCTACTGAATCCACAATGCACAACCAAAGACAGTATCGGCAGTGCATCAAGAAGAGCTATGCTCAGTGGATGAACCATCATTTCAAAGGCCAGAACTTAAGCATAAGATGAAAAAGATTTATATACAGAATGTGAATAAAGGTAGGTCCCCGTTAGGGAAATAATGTTCAAAGTCTTTGCTAAATAATGAAATAGCATCTTAAAGAAAAACAAAAGCACTCGTCACGAGAGCACACAATCCACAAATGACTTTAGATACCTGTACCAGCAGTGTTTTCATCCAGCTTTCAAGTATCAAAACTGTTCCTGTAAGTCACCTGCAGCATTCATTACTGAAATGCTGCAGTAGTTTTGAATAATCATACAGGAAAAGACAAAAGAGAAAAATCAACAGGAGAAAACTCACTATCTGACTTCCAGCACCCAAGATGAGCAATGTGCAAGCTCCTACTTTTCCCTCTGAGATCCTGGCATAGATAAATAATTTGAAAGCACATGAAAATCCAAACTTCATGAACTGAGAGCTGGCAGGCAGATAAAAGATACTCTGGAAACAATGCTTTTAGAGAAATTCCTTTACCATCATCATACAACTTGTGGAAACCCCAGAAAAGCATCCACTTGACAGCATGCAATGGTTGTTAGTACTTGTGGTCTGCTAATAGCAGTTCCAAGACAAAAATCAGACTTTGAATGAGCTTAAACATAACTTGACCACTCACCCTAGGAAAAGCATCTCAAAGTAGAAATTAATGCACTGTAGCAAGCTAGGCTAAATAACACCCTTAAATAATCTCTTCCTCTATTTTATGGTTATATTATAAATGCAAATAGTACTTCTGCTCTTGGGATACTCTTGCCAGCACAACACTTTACATTGCAATTTTCCTGTGGCTTCTGTTTACCAACTGTATGTAGACAAACATATACACATCATGCTAATAGGTGGGGAAAAGAAAACAGACTATAGAAAAAACATAAGAAGTATGTTAAAAGAAAGAAAAACGAATCATGTTTTCACTATGGCCACACATAAAATGTCTTACCTTAATATTTTTGAACTCCTTTTTCCAGGGGTAAAGAAAGAGATTAATTCCAACTGTCTCGAGCATGCTGAATGCATTACGTAGAGAATGTAAACTTGAGGATTTCACAGATCTCAGTGAGTTCTCAGCAATCTCGTAGAACTTTATCAACCGGAATCTATAAAAGGGATCAATTTTGGGAAGGCAAAGAAAGGCCGCGGCAGCCACTCGCAAATATTCATCATTAATCGGACGATGCTTGTTGTCAGAGGCACTCAGTTTGCATTCATGGAACTGTACATACTTCCTAAATAAATCGTCTTTATATTTTGAATCCATTGAAATCAGTTTTTATCTCACGCTTGGGCAGCTACCTCGTCTCTTTCATGGCTATTCGGCAGTAGGTTGATTATCTGGCATTAAGAATCTTCAGTAATGGCAACTCTTCTGGAATAAAGATTGAAAACAAAGACAAGTCAACAGAGTTGCATAAACCCCAGATGTCCACAGCACCTCTCTGCTTCACAGGATTCCATAAAATGGTTCACAGAGCAGTAGCTCCCAGAGCAACCTCTTTAGGTTTCTGCATAAGAAAAAAGTGCAAGAGTCTACAGAAACGCTGTTGTCCTGCTTTTCACTGCCGTTCTCTACTCTTCTTCCAGTTATCCAGCTAAAGCAGTACAACAAACCTATATCGAGCAAGGCTCTGAGAGTTTGACGCAATACAGCCAGAACTGAGGTTTCTTTGGCTCAGGAAACTAAGGCAAAAGTAACTCACAGCAAAAAACAGAGAAGCACAAGTTTTTAAAGTCTCTCCTCTGCACATTATTTTGCCCTTTCAGTTCAAACAACTTAATCATTATAATAATCAGTCACTGATTGGTTTGGTTTTTTTCTTTTTTTTTTTTTTGCCCTGCACAGTGATATAAAGATTTAAAAATTCCCCTAAAGAAGTTTTTTTTTTTTTTGCTCAACTTAGCAAAGCATCCACTTCTTGTTTCCTCTAGCGCCCCTAGACTTGAGCAGATTTATTTGTTTCACCTAACACTTCCTGCCACTCACATTCCACCTGAGGGCACACCCAAACCATCCCAGTACTGGGAATGCTCTGCACTCAGCCTACAGAGAACGCACTCCCTGACTGCTGCAATCGACAGCCAAAGTTTCAGCCGAGTACTGGCAGTGCAGAGATGACTGCAATCTTCACCAAAAAAAAGAAGAGCTATACCTGCCATTTATGGCTGCTTTATTAGAACAAAACCTTCCCTGGTTTTACATCATGGATGCTTTTGTTTGCAGGAATAGGTGCTTTTATGTATATACAGATCTACATTTTCACCTCACCGAGCTCACATACTTCAACAGGAAAAGCTGGTGGCAAAAGAAGCTTCCTAAAACTACCGAACCCAAGGTAATGAAGAGGCCAACATGCTCCATCTCAACTGCCTGAAGAACTTGTGATCAAAAAGCAGACCATAGCCTTTGCTTTTTAAATAAAGCCACAATCCAGCCCTTACAGACTTCCCAGCTGTGAACCACAGGGAGGGGAAGAAGGAGAAATCAATGCACTGTTTTGGTTGTAGTACATCTGAAACAGCACTTCAGGAAAGACTTTTCACCCAGTATTAATTGCAGCTGCTAGAATGCTGATCAATGCCCCCACACACTCCTGTTAAAATGAAAATCACTGTTAAGAGCAAAATTAATGGAATAAAAGGAGTCATAATATAAATAGGGGGAAAAAAACCCAACACAAACCAACAACCAAGAGGCCAGGAAAACAAACAAAAACCCTAACAGCCTAGCAGTTACTATTACTTGATGAAAGGCTGCACTTAATGACAACACCATGTGGGAAAAGTTAACTAGCGGTTCAGTTTCTGCTCAAAGGCACTCTGCTCTTGTTTTTCCCACAGCAAATTGCACTGATGTCAAGAGACAAGCTGTGAATCACAGGAAATGTGGAGTTCTAAATTAACATTTGAGCATAAGGGCCAGGAGTAAAACCTTCTCCCTCTTGGGGATCTTTCCTCCTTAAGTTGTGTAAGATGAAGTCTGTGGACAAAGACAACGGAATGCCTTCTGTTCCTTAGCAAGAAGGGCTCCACGAAGGCATTTCAGAGAAGGATCTTTGTACATCAGTAATACACCCCCAGAACAAGAATGATCCTGTGCTGACAATGAGCTGGATTTAGCACTACAATTCTTCTACCTCCCCTGTTAATAACTACTAAACAAAAGTGCTCGGTTACATGGATGAGATGTCAGAGTTGGGAAAGTCCCCACACGAAAGGGAAGTCCTCCACCGAGGCCCTGCAGACTGGGACACTCAAAACCACCACCAGGTCTCATTTTGACTCGCTGTTTGCATACAAGCCAGAGTTCACAGAACCAAAAAGCAAACCACCACAGAGCAAACAACCCAGCAACCCTTCACAGCCCTGCTCCCAGCACACAGAGCTTCCAGAGCAAAACATCCCCATCCCAGGCAGCCCACCCAGCACTAGGCAGGCTTCGAGCAGCGAACAACCATGGTTACAAGGCTTGGTAAAGCCCTCAGTATGAGCAGGCACAGATAAATATAGTTTTAAGAAGCACACTAGCTGATGCAACAGAGAAGGTGACAAGGCCGTTTTGCTGCAAATTACTGACTGAAAACTTACAAAATTTCATGGAGATGCATGAAAAATAAGGTCTGACCAGAGTCTAGTTTCTGCAGGCGAGATGAGAAAACATTTCTATCAGTTTCCTGGGTCAAAACCTCAGCTGAGGGATCCAACCACTCTGCCTACCCTAGACTCCTTGGCAGGGCACAGACATGCAAAAAACCCTATGGCAAATGGCGAGAAACACGGGACACGTTCAGCACTCTCCTAGACCACAGCAAGAGAACCAGGAACGCTAAGCTTGCACCAAACGTTTGAAAACAGAACTACCCCGAACGCAAACGCTATTGAATAGCACCAGAGCACAGAGCATCGCTGAGGTACTCCAGCCCGCGGAATAAGGGGGTGGAACACCGCGCACTTAACGCGCACTTGGAGCCGTTTCGCTCCCCGGTTGTAGCGGAGACACCTGTTGCGGCGTCCAGCTCGGCCGCTGCGAGGAGCGGCGGGCACGGCCGCGGCCACCGCCTTCACCCCGGCGAAGTGAGCGGCCTTCACTGGACACCGAGCCCGGGGCCGGCCCCACGGGGGCTCTCTGCAGCCTCTCACCGGTGAACGCTCGCAGCGCCTACCCCCCGCACCCACGCCGCGCCGTCCCCTCAGAGACCGCAGCGCGTGCTGGCCGAGCCCCCACCCACACCCCTCGTGCCAGGCCCGTCCCTCACCGCTCCGCGCTGCAACCGGGACCCGCCGCCGCTCGGCCGGAAGCGTCCGGTGACCCGGATGCGGGGCTGCGGACCCCGCGGCCCCTCACACGCTCCAGAATAGGCCCCAAGCTCCGGGAGCGCTCCTGCTGCCCGCGGCGGACGCGCCCACCCCTGGGCTCGGCCTCCCGGCGCCGGCTTCGGAGCTGCCGGCCGGAGGCGGCGGCTCGCAGCGGCGCCCCGGAAGTGGACGATGGGCACCGCCCCCTGCCGCGAGATAGCTACCGCCGCAGGGCGACGTGCGGCCACGCCCCCAGGTGGGCGGAGCCCCGCTGCAGGGGCGGAGCCGCGCCTGCGCACGGCCGCTCCCCGGGTGCCGGGCGCGGCGGCGGGAAGATGGCGGTGGCCGCTGCCGGTGCGTCCTCGTCGCGCTCCCCGGAGCGGCAGGACCCGCTGTCGCGCTTCACCTGCCCCGTGTGCCTGGAGGTGTACGAGAGCCCGGTGCGGGTGCCCTGCGGACACGTGTGAGCGGATGACCGGCGGGGAGGGGAGGGCGCTGAGGCGGCGGTGTGGGGCCCTCTCGGCGGGAGGGCAGCGGTGACCCGTCGAGGGTGGAAACCGTCGGGGGGCGGGTAGCCGTCGATGGTCCAGAACGCGTCGGAGGGGGGGATGTGTATCCGTCGATGATCTGGACCCCGGGGGGGGTAACCCTTCTATGATCAGGAGCCCGTGGGAGGGGGTGCCGGTCGATGATCTGGAACCCGTCGATGACGGGGAACCCGTCCGGGAGGCGGGATCCCATCGGGGGCAATGGGGTGAAGCGGTGCTGGCTGAGGAGAACGGGGCTCTGCTGGCAGCGTTGCTTTGCAGCAGCGTCTTATGGGTGTCCTGCAGCTTCCATGAAAGCAACGAAATAGGTAGATAGTCTTTTACTTTCAGTTCCCTTTTCTTTGAAACAGAGGAGGGAGCAGAGAGAGCACTGTCTAAAAGTGACAACACTGAGTATTATGAACTAGAATCATGCTCCTCCCTGGCCACACAGTGTCACCAGGCTGCTGGTTTATTAGACATAGGTTCTTGATATTCCTGTATCACTTAGTGCAGAAGGCATGAAAGGGCTCTGAATGCTTATGCTGGGTGACCAGGAGGGCTGTTCTCACCATCTGCTCTTCTCCCATTTCAGCTTTTGCAGTCCGTGCCTGCAGGAATGTCTTAAGCCGAAAAAGCCAGTGTGTGGTGTGTGCCGCAGTACCCTGTCGCCTGGGAGCAGAGCTCTGGACTTGGAAAAGCAAATTGAAACAACAGAAACCACTTGCAATGGCTGCAATAAAAAAGTATGGAAGTGTTTGGAAATAAAGTGCATGATGTGTGCCTGCTCAGCCATACTGCTTAGAGGGAGATAAAGTGCTTGATCTTCAGCTTTCTGCAGAATCAGGTTAAAATGCTTGCTTTGATAAGTGCTAAAGATATTTAAGATAATATATAAAGGTATAGGCAGTATTGTTGATCTCTTCAGGAAGTGAATTCCAAATCAAAGGTAGTGACTTTAAAATAAGAATAAAATAGTGCTTCAGCAGTTGCTTCTGTGAGCATTGTCTCTGTGGAATGGACATTGTAATTAAACAGTGGATGTGGGGTTATGTATTGGCTTTTAAACTTATAATAAATCATAAACATAAATAATATATCATAAACTTAAACTCTTCGGCTCTTAAACATAAATTTATTTACTTTGTTTTAAATAGCTATAAGTTAAAGTTGTCTTATATGGTTATTCCATTCCATACGTTTATTATTTGTTAGCATCCTGCATGTTGAATCTCTTTATAGCATTCTTCCTGATAGTTCCTTTCTCTTTGTAAACTTGGGCTTCCTAGTGTTAATTGAGCATGTAAGAAAATACCTTAGCAGATGGCAAAACAACAAGAAGATAATTAGACACACTAAGGTGAGGGTAGCAGTTCAGTTAATTTCACTCTTTGTTTCTGGGTAGTGTCTTCATCCCAGCTGATAGAAAACTGTAGTGCCTTAATATTTGTTAATGGCATCTAACAATTAGCGATCAATCTACACCAAAATCTGTACTTAAAAGCCAAATCATTTTCTATACATTGTCATAGATGAGGTAAACTGGCTTTAGATGAAACAATTTTATGCATATAAACACTTGTTGTGGTTTAAACCCAGACAAGACAACACTATATTAAAGGTTAAGAAAACTGGGCTGTCCTGAACAGCACTGTTTTTGCCAAATATTACAGGCAGCAGGGTTACAGATTAACTAATCTATAATCTCAGAGTTTGCCGCCTGGCCAGCTGAAGTGTTTTCCTGCTTCAACACTGCCTGCAGAAAGCTGCTTTGTTTTGCATGTTGCCATTTCAAAGTGTAGGAGTAACTGCAAGTAGCTGCAATTAACCTTGCTCTGCAACTGTTGCCTGCACAGATGTATCTGTCAAAGATGCGCAGCCATGCAGCTTCTTGTTCAAAGTACCAGAATTACATCATGGAAGGTGTGAAAGCCGTAACAAAAGAACCACTTCACAACACCAGGTAAGTAGCTCTTCTTCAGAAATACTTGTAGTTTTTTGTCAAAGAAGTAAAAGCAGACCTCACCTCTCTGCTCAGTTTGGGCATTCATAATTTTAATCATTACACATAGTGAAAAGCTAAGCCTCAATCTGCAACTGACTGCACAGGCAAGCTGTTCTGCTTTCTGCTGTGCTCTGTTCACATCTTCAAGATCAGGGGTACTCAGTAAAAGTAGCTATTTTTTAAATAAAACCTTTATCTTTCTGTCTGTTGATTATAGTAACTTACAGTGAAGGGAAGTTGGAATGAACTGTAAGGGCGCACATCTGGGTTGTGGCATATTGGGGTACCCTGTGCATTAAGAAAAATAGGTGATAAATGGCAACATTTGTAGAAAACTCATTCTGTGTCAATGTAGATGGTATTAGGAGTTCCTAAAACTGTTAGGAATTTATAAACTGTTAAAACTAACTTGGATTTTTTTGTATAGAATAAAACTATTGCTTTAAATAATTTGTATTTGTAAGAGCTGGTAAGGTAGCATTTGAGTATTAAATCCTAAAGTTTTTATTTTTAACTTCCTTACAGTGATAAATAACCTTTTTCTCTCTTCCCAACCAGGAACTTCCCCAATCGCTTTACCTTTCCTTGCCCATATTGCAGCGAGAAAAACTTTGATCAAGAAGGACTAGTTGAACACTGCAAAACATTGCACAGCATGGATGCAAAACAAGTGGTAATGAAAAGTCTTTGTGCAAGAATTGCAATGAAGTCTAGTCTTAAATCCCTTTGAAACAATGAATTAGAGACTCTTGAAGTTAAGTACACGTTTATTCCTGTTAATGTCAAATGCAGGTATGCTGTTCATACATTTAACTTTAATGCTGGGTTTCAGGACATTCTCTGGAGGTGACTAACTTTTATTCCTATTGCAGCTAGGTGACATCCTCCTTTCATCTGTAAAAAATGGCAGACATTTGAAGTTAATTAAGCACAGTAGCAAACATAAATTAATAAAATACAATTTCAAGAAAAAGGCAATCATTTAATTTTTCCCTCTGGTGTGTTCAGCAATATAAGCTATATAAACTATATAAAATATAAATTATATTCAGCAATATAAACTATAGGGAAAAATGCTTGCAAAAAAATAGTATATCATTCTACTAATCTTTATCTGCTAATACTCCCTCTCATATAAGAGGAATTGCAAAACATGGAACTGATTTTGGAACTTGCATATTTCTGGAAAGTTTTTTTTTAATTCCAAATTATTTAGGAAAAAAGTTCCTTTTTTCTCCTGGAGAGAAGTGATCTTTGCAAAGGAGGTCAAGGAACCTCTTCTGTTACTGAGAAATAAAGGCTAAAATCTTCAAAAGCCAACAATTGAAACAACTGAATGCTGGTTTTCAGACTGTACAGGGAAGAGTAAGCCATTCCATTGCAGACATCTAAGCCATGAGTTAAAATTACCTGGGATAATCTGAGTCTTTTATATGAAGTATCCCAGTAAACTCTTTGACATCCCTGTGCATATAGAATAGCAATTATCATAAACCTTGAACTTCAGTGTTCCATTCTGTGTCTGTCCTGCCCTTCCTACTGTAAATGTTAAAGCACTTAACCATTGGGTCTTAATTGGCTTTTTTGGGGTTTTCTTGAAGGTTTGCCCAATTTGTGCCTCAATGCCATGGGGAGATCCAAATTACAGGAGTGCTAACTTCATGGAGCACCTTCAGAGACGCCATCGCTTTTCGTATGATACTTTTGTGGTATGTGTTTCCTCATCCTTGGAATAAGGCCTCATGGCTCCTAAACCCCAGCTTTTTTATGTAGCCGTTACTGTGAAATCTCATCTTGCAGATGGTGTCATGAGAGAAATTGGATTATTGGCAAGTCAAAGGAAAAGACGGGTTTTTTCTGGTTTTATTTGGTATTGTATTAACCAGCATGGCTGTTGTAGTAAAGGAATTTCTGTCCCCTTTGTTCACAGGATTATGATGCTGATGAAGATGATATGATGGCACAGGTTTTGATGCGTTCTTTGCGGGATAAATGAACCAACCAGAAGATTAACTGTAAAACTCAAGCTTCCATGAGGGGGAAATGCCCAGCATCCTTGCACTTCTCCCTGTACATTCCGAGATTAACTCAGGCATCCATAAATACGGAAGACTTCAATCCCTATCCCAGTTTCAAATCCAAGTTGATTATGTCTATAAAAATGGTCTGTACCATTCAACCCTGTTAACCTAATTTTCTTACTTGCTTCACACAAAGCTTCGTTGCAACATGGAGGAGACAAATCTGTTGTCTTTTAATAATTTCTTGGTTTCTTTTGCAGTTGTGTTCATTTGATAGTCTAAAAACAAAAACATTCCAAATGGAATGGCCTGACCTAGTTAATAAATATCTCTTCCCAGTCTCATTTACATATCTTAAATGCTAGTAGGAGAGGAGTAGTTGTAGCTCTGTTTTCCCTTAGTGAGACCTCTAGGTGCTAACTGTAATTGTCAGACCAACTCTCATTTAAACTGACCTATGATACCTGTGATTTCATAACGTTTCCCAGTGTTTAAATTCTCAGACACAGCCTCTCAACTATATGGAAAATACATCTTTAGTAGGAGTCTTCAAATTACAGACTTTCTTAGCAAATCTTTGCACCTCTTAAGCAACTTTTTGTTCTGTATATGATTATTACTTTCTTCCATGTTTTGACCATAATTTCTAGCCTGGAAGATAAACTTTAATGCTGGTCTAAGGTAAAATGCATCATTTTTAAACTGTCTTAGCAAATCTTAATCATATTTGCAGGCTTTGTGATTAAATTGGAGGTTTTGAAACAGATTTTCTAGTGACTTTAAGCCTTATGCTGATAGGGGAATTAAGAAGGGTGCTTTTTTTTCTTCAATACCTCTGCTTTCTATTTAAACTGAAGTTTTCATATATGATCCTAGTTTTTCCATCTCTCAAGGCTGGTAGCAAACCTTACCATCAGTTCATAACACTTGCATAGCACTACCTTTCTGCATTACAGATTTTAAGAGGTATTTTGAATTCCTGTTCTTCATTTAAATGTTGCTAAAGTAGCTGAAGCTATACTTGGAGTGTTTTCCATATAATGTGTACAGTTTGCAGGTAAAACTTTTAAAGGAAAGTAAGATGTAACTCAGAAAGCAGGATGACAGTTCCAGTACATGGAAAATGGATATTCTGTATTCAGGTCTACACTTCTACTATAGACTTTCCTTTTTAGTTTAATGTTTTCATTAACAGTCTGCACAGTCAAGGTGATGAGATCTAAGGATCTAAGACACCTGGCCAGAACTTGTAAATCATGGTAGTGTTGAGATGTCTAGTCTAATTTAAGCATGTTTAATTGGAGCAGTGGACCTGCACCACCACAGGATTGAGCACTAGTTTATTTATTTGACCAGTAAGTTTAGGGTAATCACACTCTGCAGACTGCAGCACAGCCTTACCCTTAAAACAATGACATACACCCTGGTTAAAACCTCTTGATTAAACCTTGTGTCCAGCCAGACCTCTAACATCCTTCAGTTGAGCTTGGGTTTAGTATGTTTTCCCAACCTGTTAAAGACTCATCTGTAGGTATCTGCTGCTGACTGGAAGCTCAGTCTTAGGGGCAGGAGAAATCTCACTGTACTGTGGGAAAAGGTACTGTGTTTGGGGTTGGTTATTTTTAATGCTTGATCTGTAAAGAGATTACAGTGTATTAGTGACTGGATGGGGATTTCAGGGTTCTGGCTAGAACGCAGTTTGGTGGTATGCACTGGCCAGAATCCAGATTTCTGCTACTATTCTAAGTGCACTTCCATGCAATTCTGATAAAATGTGTAAGGAGCAGTTAGAAGCTTCCAAGCAATTACTTTGTTGTGGTTTTGACTTTTGAAGATGAATTACAAATAAAGGCCATTTAATTTATAAAATCCTACCTTCATCTTAACTCCAGTCCTTTCTTCGTTGTGGTCCATACATTTCATTTCAGTATCTCCCTACAAACACTTCTTGCCAGCTGTGGAATGCTGCAGGGAAGACACTGATACGTGCAGACACTTCAGCTTTTGGCTTCCATTAAGTATTTTAGAAAAACAGTTTGGATCAAATTCTGTTGGAGCTGGCCAGGATACTGCAGGTGCACCCTTGTATGGGAACACTTGCTATGGGAAGCCATGCAAACAACACCCCCTAGGGTTTCTTATTAAATCATGGAAGTGTGACTGTCCAGCAAGGCTTTTCTGTTGAAATCTTTACAGCTCCCATCACTTTAACGCCCCTGGATGTCAGGTTTGTGGTGGTGATATCCTTGTGTTGTTCCCCATTCTGGTAGCTCCCAATGAGGAGGTGATGCCTGGCTTGTAGCAATGGCTGGTCAGAAACTGCTGGTGACTGTACCCTGACTGTGCAGAGTCATTCCCTCACTGTACAACTTGGGTTTGATTTGCAGCAATTTACATAGGAATTATTTAACAGAAGATACAGACCAAAAGTGTTGACTGGAAAATGCATGCTGGTTCTTCTTTAACTCTGATGACATTAGTGTGTGAGTAAGAAGCCATGTCTTGGCACTTGCTCGCTTGGCATCAGAGGAATTCATGGCACTGCCTTTTGCACTGTGATGAGCATCTGAGATAAACCTAGCCATAGACTCCTACTGCTGCTGAAAAGCGTTGTGTCTCTGTTGCTAAATACGTCAATGCAAACATGTTCACACACATGGTATGTCTTACTGGTATTTGCTGTTTGATTTAAAGAGGCGTTCTGTTGAGGTGCATGTGTGTATAGCCTCGATTCATCTCATCTGTGTGCAGAAACTCGTGATGAAAACAAGCCTTATTAGATAGCGAGCAAGTGAATCTGGGCTTCTAAATCCAGTGGAGAGTTGCTGCAGGAGGGTGAAGTACTCTGCCAGGGTTGCTCTCACCTCGTCAGCACCTGATCTTGTAGCCCCTAAGTGCCCATTGTTGGTGTTAATGCAATCTGGCCACTTGGACCTGTGAAATTCCCAGTGTCTGGCACAAGGAGTCAGCCTTAGGAGGTCAGTTAGGGAAGAGGGAGGGGGCAGAATGGGAGGAGACAAGCTGGCAGTCGAGCTTGCTTTTCTAAATGAATCTGTCTGATAACTTGTTGTCAGCACTAATTACCTAACAATTGCTTCATCTGAAACTACAGCAATACATCCCCCTGGTCTCCTTGCACTGGGTAATAAGGTCTTGTAAAGCATCCCATCTATAAGAAAGCATTTGTGGTGTACTCTGAATCCGTCATCTGATCGACAAAGGCTGACCAAACTTGCTTCCAGACTTTTTGATAGTCACTGGTAAGATCAGCATAGGAAGGGTTAACCTCTCCTGTAGTACAGAGGCTATGGTAAGTCACTATAAAAGCAAATGAGGGGTGTGCTTGCAGTTTTAAAGCTTTTCTTTGGTTTAAGTATACTAACAACGACAAGGTTTGGGCCTGGTTTGGGGGTGGGTTTTTGCCTCCTGTCACAGTTGTGTTGATTGTGCTTCATTCTTCAAAAGCAACTCATTTTTTGGGGGGTAAACTACATTATTCTCGACGTGATACAAACAAGGACTGCTGAAACCACGATGAGAACTTCCTTTTCCTTCCCCACTCTTTCCCCAAAGCTCCAGGAAATACCCAGCACTTACAAGTGTGGTCACTAGAGGCTTCCTGGGTCTCACTTTTAGTTCTTCTCACGTTTGTTATGCCTTTACCTCGTACTCAGGCACTGGGTTTTAAGACATAAAACAGTGAAGCTTCTGTGAGCCGTTTTAGCAGCCCCATGCAGCGAGGTTCCCTTCCACAACCCGAGCGCAGGGGCAATAAGGAATAAGCTCACCCTGGTGTACTCCGCAGCCGGAGCGGCGGCCAGCAGCGCGCACCGACGGCAGAGGGAGGTCTTGCATCTCCGAGAGAACGTCCCAGCCCTGCGCTCCTCTCCGTCCTCCTCCACTGGGGTTCACGGAGCTCCTCCGCTCTTGCAGGGAATGTTCACGCCTCATCCCCGCTCTTGCACGGCCGGAGCTTCCCTTCGCCCCGCCACAGCCTCCCTTGGCGGAGGGAGCTTTGCTCTGCAGCAGGGTCTTCGCGATGCTTCGTGGAGCCGCTGGTCCAACAAAGGTAAAAAGAAGACTTTGCAGCAGGCTTGCCGCTCTGGAGGTGGTTATAGAGTGTGTGCCTGTGAGCTCCTTGGGCCAGCCCATGTGGGTCAGTAGCCGCGGCTGGTGGCAGGGCTGCTCTGGCCACTCTGGGGCTCCACTGCTCCGGTGCTGAGAAACCACTGCCATTTCCAGGCTGTGAATCATTGCAGAGCTTCCCCTCCTCTCTGGTCTCTCGCTCTCCGTCCTGCGGTGTTCTGGCTCATAGGCACGGGCAGGTCACTTTCTCCCCAGATCTCGGTTTTTCCTCTAGCACACAGCAGGTTTTTTCCACGTGCGGTGGTTGGAACAGGTCTGATTATTAACGCTGCAGACAGAACAGAGGAGCAGGCTTTGCTTCTTGAAAGAAAACCACCCAGTTGGGTTCCTTGTATGAGTGTCCCCAGGGTAACCACATCCGTGGCAGGTGGAGGAGCAGGGGGGCACCTGCAGCGACACCCAGGCTGATGCCCTCCTCACCATGAGGTGCTCCTCCCCACACCATGGGGCTCTGCATCTCTGGACCCCTGTGGGAAGTGGGGTCTTGGCGTCTGTGATTTACATCCCCCAAAAGCCTTTGGGGGCACATAAGTTCAGGCTTATCCAGGGATGAGGTGGGCAGATAAACACCTGCTGAAAGCCACAAGCAGTCCTGCAGCAAAGGAGGGACGGATCTAGCTCCAGAGCACATGGCTGGAGGGGAATAGTTCACAGGCTCATCTCATCCCTCCAGGACTGTGTGTGGCTGGCGGGACATGCTTCACGAGCTGCTCCTGGCCTCGGGAAGGACAGACTGAGCTCAGCCCCCTGCTCTGCAGCCGTACCAGTGGAAAGCTTTGCTCCTCACTTCTGCATTTCATGTGGGTTGTGGCTAAACAGTAACGTGTGGTCAGTGAGGGCCGGCGGGGCGGTGTCCAATGGCAGATCACGAGTAACCTGCCACCATGGGCCCTTTCCCAAGTGATAGGGCCGGGCACTGACTGGGAGTGAAGAGGCATTCCCAGCAGGTCCGGTTCCTCCTCCCGCCGCCAGCAGCTGTCTTGGCCCGGAGCTGAGCCCGGCTCCTGCAGCAGGTGGCTGGACCCATGCCCTGAGCCCTTCCAGTGGGGAAATCCCCACGTGAGCAGGAGGGATGGGGTGAGCTGGAAGCTGGGGCTGGGAGTTCCAACTGCCAGGCCAGGGGAGTCACACCGGCTCTGCTCAGCACTGTCCTAATGCCACTGCAAGGCCTGGGCACTTTCTCATGGGCATGTGTGCCCTGGAGAGCTGAGAGCCAAAGGGAGCATGTGCCTGTTTGGGACTGGTTTTTTTTTGCTATGCCTGTGCGGAAGAAAGGAGGGAAGAAAACCAGGGGACAGCTTGCTAAGGGAGGCTGTGCCCCTGAAATCTGCCCTGCAAAAGGGAGAAGCAAGTCCGGGCAGGTGCTCCTGACCCTGCCTGGGGGAGGGAGCCAGCAAAGGGCTGGGCTGGACCAAGCCCCTTGCTCTGGGAGTCTCTGCTCTTCTCAGAGGATTATCAACCCGCGGCCATGCTGTGCCCAGCTCTGCTCCAGAGCAGCGGGACACGGCAGAGGCTCGCCCTAATCTGCACCGCAAGGACAGCCACGCGTGGGGGCCGGGGACCACCCTCCCGGCACAGCGCCTTCCTCCAGACCCGCTGCTGCGGGTCTCCCGAGCTCGGGCACACAGGCCATGGCACAGTCGCACGGCTCCTTGCCCTGCTTCCCTCCATGGGAAACACTCCGGGAACGAGCCAGAAATGGCTCGTTCATGTTCATCATCATCGGCGCCAGGAGCGATGCTCTCTACACCGGAGCCCGGCGCGCAGCCCCGTGGGCAATCCCCGCGGGGCCGACACCTGCCGGGCTCCCCCCCCACGCCGTCCCATTGGTTCCGGGGGCCAGGGGAGGCTCCGCCTCTCCCGCTCCATTGGGTCCGGTGCGGAACGACCCCGCCCCGCCCGCGCCGCCCCCCGGCCCCAGGTCCATATGAACGGGCGCGGCGGGCGCGGCGGTACTGTGGTTCAAGATGCCGCGCTCTTTCCTGGTGAAGAAGCACTTCTCGGCCAGCAAGAAGCCCAACTACAGCGAGCTGGAGAGCCAGGCCGGTGCGTGCACGGGGTGCGGCGGGACGGGGCGCTCCGCGGGGTCCCCGGTGCCTCCTATGCGGGAGCGGGCGGGTGGGGCTCCCTCCATGTGGGACTTTCGCACGGGCAAGGGGGTGTTGTTTCCAGTTCCGTGCAGTTCGGCTGGGATGGGGTGCGGGATCCCCCGCGATGTGGAGCAGCCGCCTCGTATCCTGGGGTGGGCGTGGGGAGCTCCTCGTGTTGGAGGTGTGCAGGGGAACGGGGCTCCTTTCGCGCTGTTCCTCTCTGCAGGGCGGGTTGGGGCGCCGAGACCCGTTGGGTCTCCTTTGCTCCGGGGTGGGCTTGGGCTCCGGGACCCGTCGGGTGGGCTGAAGTCCCTCTGGCTCCGGAGTGAGAAGCGGGGATCCCACGGGCTGGCCTGGGGTCAGGTCTAATTGCTCTGGGGGTGGGTTTGGCCCGCGTTTGCCCTTGTTCCCACTGAGTGCTGCCGCCTCCCGCAGTGCTGGCCGCCCCTCTGCTGTACGAGACATGCCCGCTGCCCGTCATCCCTCCGCCAGAAGTGCTCGGTCCCGGTGCCTACTACCCGCCGCTGGTGTGGGACGCGGGGCTGCTCTCCAGCCTCTTCCCTGGCGGCCCGGGCAGCGAGGGAGCGGGCGGCACGGCCCCTGCCCTGGACCTGACGGCGCTCTCCAGCGAGGAGGATGAAGGCAAGAGCTCGGGGCCCCCCAGCCCAGCCTCAGCCCCCGCTGCCGCCGAGCGCTTCCGCTGCGCCCAGTGTGCCAAGGCTTACTCCACCTTCGCTGGGCTCTCCAAGCACAAGCAATTGCACTGCGACGCCCAGGCCAGGAAATCTTTCAGCTGCAAGTACTGCGAGAAGGAGTACGTGAGCCTGGGGGCTCTCAAGATGCACATCCGGAGCCACACGCTGCCCTGCGTCTGCAAGATGTGCGGCAAGGCCTTCTCCCGGCCCTGGCTCCTGCAGGGCCACATCCGGACACACACCGGTAATGCTGGCTCTTGCCCCTCTCCCTCCCTCCCTCCCTTATCACCTCCCGCTTCCCAGCTCCACAGCCCCCAGCAAATCGGTGGCCCAGGTGTTATCTGGGAAGATAAGGGCTTCCCAAACCCCCTTGGCACATCTCTCTAAAATGTCCTTTAAATATCCTCTTGTCTGGAACAGAGCGCAGGGTCAAGGCTCAGCTTGTAAATCTGTGCCACCACTGTTAGTGCTGTGCCTATCCATGAGCCAGCACATGAGCCACGGTGCAACAGTGCATGCTTTTGCTCTGTGTTATAGACTGAGGCACTGCTGCAGCATTCCCTGTTCATCACCATGCCCAAAGCCATCTTCCCTGCCTTCACCAAGGGCTTCCAGGCCTGGCTGCCCAACACTGGCCTCCAACCTGCGGCCCCGCTCAGCTTGGAGCACACCGAAATGCACCGCAGCATCTCATGAGCCCTGCGGGCAGGTGCTGGGGGTGCGACGCCGGCACCCCCAGCACCAGTTGGTGGGGGTCCGGGTGCTGCAGCTGCAGCCCACCCCACTGCCCGTACAATGCATCTCCTGAGCATCCTTTGTGGGGCTGCGGGATAGTGTAATTGTGACTTGGCACTGATTTCACACCCTCTTAACGTACTAAAGATGATGGCTGAAGGAAGCCGGGAAGACTTAATTGTGCTTTCCAAATTGAGCATACGCATTTGTTTCCTCCAAAAGAGTCTTTCTGGGAGGAATTCGCCCTGGCCGGGCTTTTCAATGCGAGCCGGGCAGGAGAAGGGGGAGCGGGGGTTCAGCGGAGGAAATAGCTATACTCACCCTGGCGCTGGCGCCTCGCAGCCGCTGCCTGCTATGATATAATTAACACATAGCGCTTGGCTTTCCTGCCTCTCTGCGAACGGCTCGCTTGGCTCCAGGCAGGAGACAAATATCGCGTTTTCGTTCGTATGTGCAACTGCCTTGCTGCTTGCAGATGTTTCCAGCGTTAGTTTTCCATGGTTCATAGGAGAGTTTTCTGGGGGGAGTAGGAAATTCCCGAGTCCTCCCCAAAATGAATGCTGTACATACCTCACCAGGCTTTTCCTCAGAACAATAACAGCCAGTACTCCTTTTTCAATGTGCTCTTCACAAACTTTGGCTGATGAATGGCTCCTTCTTTGATATTCCCCTTGTGTTGATGCACTGGTTAATTGGGAGTATTTCTCTTTGTCCCATAGGTGAAAAGCCCTTTTCCTGTACACACTGCAACCGGGCCTTTGCTGACCGCTCTAATCTCCGAGCCCACCTGCAGACCCATTCAGATGTAAAGAAGTACCAGTGCAAAACCTGCTCCCGGACTTTCTCCCGTATGTCTCTGCTCCACAAGCACGAGGAGACGGGCTGCTCGGGCTCTCGCTGAGGACGCTGCTTCCCCAGGCCTCTCTCCACACAAATCCCTATATTATACCTAGTTTCTGTAGGAGTTAGTTTCCTCCATCGCCATCGCAGCGCACACCGAGACCCTCACACTCCTCACTCGGTGCCTCCTGTGCAATGCGAAGGCCTGATCCTCCTCCCATCCTGGCGTCCGAGGGTGCAGGATTGGACTCCGGAGATAAGTGTGGGTGCCAAAGAGTTGAAGCTCGAGGGGTGCAGCCCTGAGCCCGATCCACCGCTGCTGCAGCCCCCATCAGGTGCCCCTGCTCACCGGGCACCTTGCAGGGCTGGTCCTGCACCCTGGCCCCAGCACTGTGACCATGTAGCTTGGGGGGGGGGTGGGGGGAGGGCTGCTTTTTGTATGTTTTTTTACTGTAACCACTCGGTAACTTTTAAGAACCAATATTTTTCTAACGAAGGACAGGATGTGCCGTGTCCCCCAGCCCCCAGTGTATATTCGCCGCCTGTAGAAGGTGTAACTATGCAATAATATAGTATCCCGGTAGTTGTGAAGCAGCTGCTTCTCCCCAGCACAATGACAATTTGCAATGCCTGCGAGATTAACAGTGTCCGTAAAAGGCACGGGGTAGCCATTTCAAACACCAGCCCTGTTTACAGAGCAGCTATGCACTCAAGCACCTGTTAATATGACTCTTAACAACTGCTTTTCAAGAGAACTGTGACTAATAGCAGGCACTTGTCAGCGATACAATGGTGGCCTGTCCCAAGGCTGCCCATCGACAGGTGTGTGCCAAAAGCCCTATTTATGGGTATTGACAGGTGCCTCCTGAATGCATCTTTCTTTGGACATTGTTTTCATGGAATCATTACAAAGAGGATGTTTACATTTCAAAGGTACACTGGTATTTATATATATTTTTTTTTGTTTTCTTTGGTGCCACAATTTTGTACTGATGAAACTTTTTATATAATTATATACATTTTATTGATATTCAATAAAACGGTTAATTTATAATAGGGTTTTGTGGGTGAAGAGGTGGCCGTGATGTGGGGGCTGGGGTGACGGGTGCTCTGCTCCTAGCCTCTGGCTGCAGGTGAATGAGTGGCATTCACATACATGGGGGGATGCAGAGCAGTCACCTCTGGGAAGGAAAAGGCAGGCTGAGTCAGTTCCTGCCGGAGGACTGGGGAAGGGGCAGCTGTGCAGTGATGCAGGCCGGGGGGTCAGGCTCATGGGGGAGCAGTGGGTCTCCCTGGCCCCATGTGGGAAAGTGCATGGGCTTGCCCTGGCCCTTCCTGCAGGCTTGGGGAGGTGCCGGCTTCCCTGTGGGGCTACCGCAGCACCTATCCCTGGCTGTGTCCCTTGGCACTCCCTGGGGATCAGGTCCATGGTGGGGCTGCCCCTGCTCTCAGCAGGCTCCCGAGCCTCCCCAGGGGATGGTTAAAGCACCGCAGGGAGCTGAGCCTCTTCTGTGGGCGAGTTGGTGTGTGGCACCTGAGGTGACACATCCTGTTGTCACCACAGCACCTTCAGCAAGTGCAGGTGGGAGCAGACGGAGGGGCAGGTGCTCCTGGATATCCCAACTACCTGCTTCGAGGGTTCCCATCACCAAACTATCCCAGTGCCCCAGATCTCTTCCCTTGCACCCTCCCAGCTCCCTCCAGATTTGGGGTGTTTCAGGGACAGCACCGCCGGTTTTGCCACCTGCCTCCCCAGCGGCTGGGATTTGTTCTTCTCCCCCTGCATTCCCTCGGTGCCATCTCCAGAACATTGCTTATAACCAGGGAATAAAAGCGCACTCCCCCTCTCCCAGCAGTCATTCCCCTCCAGCCCGCTGGCGCCCGGCTCCCTGCGCCATTCCCAGGGGCTGTTACGGAGCAGGAAGATGTGTGTGGCTGTAAAAGCGTGCAGAGCCGCTGCTCGGCCCTTCTTTAATTAAGAGCTCGCCCTGCATAAACTGCCTTTCCCAGCCGAGCTGGACTCATTACTCGATTATTAAGCAGGGCAGGAAGTTTTGGGTTTGCTCTTGTGTGTGCTTTTTTCTTCCTTTTCCCAACAGGAAGCGGGGGAGGGGCACTAATTACTTTCAGCTTTCCATCCATAAAATCCTGGAGCCGCAGAAGCAGCTAAAGAGTTAAAAAAAGCCCAATTTTGAGAACAGACCACCTGCAGGAGCTGGAAAGCAGGGAGCAGGGCTCTGCCGTTGAGGAGGTGGCCCAGGCTGCCCCACCGGCCCAGGTTGGTGTTTGTGGCTCTGACATGCCTTTGGTTATTGTTTGGGCCAGCAGTATGCATCCAACAGCACCACATGGGCTGTGCCTTACCCCCATACACACATGCCATGGCTGTCACTGATTCAGATGGGAAGCCCTTCCTGCATCATTCAGGCTGTCGCTTCATCCCTGCACCGGCACCCACCAGGGAACACTGCCAGCTCCCTCTCAATGGGCTTCAGCTAACACTGACTGGTTAGGCAAGCGATGAGAGTTGTGAGAAACCTCCTCCTCAGCAATCCTTCCTGCTCTCAGTTGTGTTCCCGGCTTTGTCCAGAGCCTGGCTGGGATGCAAACCTTTCAGAGAGAAGGGATAAACCGGGTGGAGGACAGCCTAGGCTCGACTGAAAAATCCCGCTGGCATTCAAACACAAATGCAGCCTTAAAACACTGGCAAAAAGAAATGCTGCCTGTTCTGAATCACAAAAGCGCAGCCCATTGGCACTTGGGCTGTTGCTGCATCTGCTCCCTGCCCTGCCCAAGCACCCTGCATCCAGGGAACCCTCAGATGCTGTCCCACAGTTTGGGACAGTGCCTCTCACCTCTCCAAGTTATGCCTAGGTCTGCATCAGCCATCCAGGGTGATGGATGTGGCCCAGATCCCTTCTCTTCTGAACCCAATGCTCATTTCTCAAACATATTTATTTCTACTAGGAGGGCTGTTGGGGTAAGCAGAGGGCTGGGGTCCAGGACAAGGACACCCTCGAGTCCAGCTCAAACCCTCGGCAGCCACAGGCAATCCTTTCTGTCCTTTATCTGCCCCCACACACCTTTGGGGCTCTGTGATGGAGAACTGCAGCAGAAGACAGGCCTGAGAATGAGTTGCCATTGCTTTTTCATCTCATTTTCAGAAGGAAACCTCCCAGAGCAGCATCCCTGGCAGCAAGGCTGCGGCGGGATGTTCCTCTGCCCTTGGTCCCCTGTGCTTGCGCAGGCAATGAGCACTGAATGGCGAAGCCAGAGGCTGCAGAGTGAAACCTCAGCATTTTTTACTCCCTGCTCTGTTTAATGCCACAGGAACTAAACACACCATAAAGCCACTGCCCGCAGCCTGGCTATTTCATCCAGGTAGCACAGTTTCAGCATGGGGATAGCAAGGGGAAGGGGGGGGGGGGGCAGCCGGCGATTAACGGGAGGAACCATTTGGTGACCACCTTGTGTGACCATCTGTAACAGATTACGGTGTCAGCGCTCGTAAAAGCCGGGATTCAATCAAGCGCCCGGCAGGTAGCAGGGGCCCCGCTGGCAGGGGCCGCGGTGCCGGGGTGCAGGCTGCGCCGGCTCCGGGCTGCCGCGCTCCCGGCCGGCACGGCCACGGCGAGGAGCGTTTGAACTCCGCTGTTTTAATTTCCACGGCCCTCCGCAGGACCTTTAAAGGAGCACGCACGTCCCCTGGGCTCCTGGAGCCCTTTCAAAGGCTCTGGGGAAACCACAAAGTGCCTTTTCTTCACAGAAAGGACCAGTCTTTTCCCCCTTCCCTGCAGGGCTGATGCAGAATTAAGGGTGTTTGGAAACCCAGCCTGGCATGGGGCAGAGAGCTGGAATAAATGCACGCAGAGACTTTGGGTTAAAAAGGGCTTTAAGGCTTCCTTGCTGCTGTTTGAAATCATTCTGTCTCTGCAGGCATCCTGAGCATCCCACGGGAACAAGAAGGGAAGTGGGTGGATTACAGGCACCTTTGCAAAGGCTGCCTCTGCTTGGAGATTTTGTGGCTGTAGTTTCCAAAACCCCTTTTTTCACTGATTTCTGTCCCTCTCTCTTTCAAAGATAGGCACAAAGCATGGGGGCTGTTGTGCTATGAGGGTGAAGAGCAGCTCTGGGAACCTCAAAACATTTCCCTCCACCTCCAGGGCTGTAGGAAGGAAAAGGGTTTCCACTTTCTTCTCCTGCCATTGCACAACTGTCTGAGAGAAATGTTCTCCTCCACCCATGCAGCCTCTGAAGGAGAGTTCCCAGCATTCAAGCATGCTGCCCCCAAAGAAGGCAGGCAAAGCTCAGCCCTTACGAAGTGCAGCAGCCTAATTCTTCTTTTGGCTCTTGCCTTACCTAGAAAAAGCTGAATAAATAATCCGAAACCATGCAGAATCCAGGGAAAAGCCTGTTCTTGAAGTCAGCCACTGGACGCCTGTTTCTGATTTGGGGAAGGAATGACCAGAGCTCTGCAACAGGAGCCAGGATGGCTCATGGGGCAATCACCAGTTTCCCACTCGAGATACCTGGAACTGTGGGAGGTCTTGGAAGATGTGTGTGCATTTATCCTTGGCAGGACAAGGGCAGCAGGTGCCTGTGCCCATGCGGGGCTCTGTGAGCCCCTGTTAACAGGCAGTGCTAGTGAAAGACCCCATCCATTAACAGCTTGCCATAAGGAGCGAGGTGCACAAACAAACTGCAGGTGTAGCTGTTGTTTTTCTGGCTCTGGGCTATTGACATGAGCAATAATCTTAAATTAATCTTTAATCGGATGATGAACTGATAGCGTGGGGCTGCGGAGGTGTGAGGCTTCCCATGGAGACAAAGAGCGTGGCAAATGCAGAGAGAGGGAGACGTGGGGAAGGGAGGCAAGGCTGGAGGATTAAAATAAAGATGATTTCTCCCTGGGGATGCAGGCAGGGTGGGTTGCAGCATCACTGTGGTCTTGCTGCTGGCTGTGCTTACTGTCCAAGGGCACTGCCTCTTCCTGGCCATGCTGCTTGTGAGCATCTCCATGTCTGTTGGGAGGCAATGCCCACCGCAGGGCAAAGCACCAGCCACCTGCTGAAACAGCACAAGTGCAAGCGCCTCGCTGCCTCAAAACAGGCCATAAATCCCCCTGCCAGAGGCTGGCTTTCTGCTGGGTGAAGTGAGCACAAACTCCCCACTCCAAGCGCACGGAGTTCACCCTGAGGGTTGAAAAACCCCTTCCCAGGGCTGTCTCACCTCCAACTATGTATTTCCCCTGTGTGAATGTCCTGGCAGCAGCCAATGTGTCCACAGGGGTTCAGGAGGCTGCGGGGGGATGGACAAGCCCAATGCCATTGTGGGTTAAATGGTTGATTCTTTTGTTTTGTTCTCAGCCAGTCCTTGATGGTGGTGAAAGGTTTGGGGGCCACCAGTGCTGCCCCCATTACGGGGGTGAGCTCATATGGGGTGGGAGCAGGTCTCTTTCAGGCAGATTGGTAACAGTGAGCAAACAGCCCGGAGCAGCCATGGCTCAGAGACACGAATGTGGTGTGACACCAGAGCCCTGAGCACTTCACAACCCGCTCCGTTAATGGCAATGGCTTAAAATGAAAGCCATAAAGATGTTGTATTTAATTCCTTCACCTGAGGACAAACACTTTGGCACAAGGGACACAAGTGCACGCACAGCAGCGACCTCCGTGTCCTCCCCACAATAAGAAGTGCTGGAGTCACCAGCCTGCGCCGACGGCTTTACAATAGCAATGCTGTGCTGTAACTTATTGGAGACCTGCCTAGAAAATCATCAGAAAGTATTTTAAACCCAGCATAACGCACATATTTATGGATCACCTTCTGCTTTACTGGGCTCCCCGAAAGCAATGCGAGCCCTGTTTTACTTTTCTCAATAAAAAGGCTCACGTTTCACATGCGGGGAGATTGGCGTCTCCCGAGCTAATTACTCCGGGTTCCCCTCCACCTCCGCATTTTCCACGCAGGGTTATGCTGGCGACACTTTGTCTGTGGCCGCTCCGGGGAGGACGGTGCTGCACATTAAAGCTTCCTTTGCCGGCGATGCGCTGGAG